TATTATTTCTATCTTATTTTGTCTTTGGTGGTCGTCATCACTCTCATCGTGTCATAGTAGTGAACCTTTAATCTATTTCACTCCCGTAACTTGTCCACTTAGCCTGTATTTTGTGGCTGCAAGCCGTTAGGTTATTAGCTAGTACTTTCTGAGGGTACACCCTCCTTCGACTCCGAAAAGTGTCGATACGAGAATCATTTTATCCAGTAATTGAACATGAGCCATTATGGAGTCAAATTAAAAGAAAAAAAAAAAAAAGAAACCGTAAAATAATTGAAGAAGTAATTTGACCCCCGAGCGCACAATAGTTCTCAATTTGACCAGAACAAGGCGTCAGCAGAACAAGATTGTCGGAATTGCACGGTCGCAAACGGAGCCGAGGATTGGTGCTGTGACCCGGATGCAGAGGCGCTTGTGTCAGGGCGTTGGGCAACCGGCCCCCCTATCATCGTCGCCCTGCTAGTCATTCTCCTGGTCATGTCCACGACGGGCCGCCCCGACTCCCGCCGATCTTATGCAGGAAGTGTAGTGTGTGAGAGCGAAAGTGTGTGTATCTCTGTGGGAGTGTCTGAGAGTTGCGAGGACCATGCTATCCAAGTCATCATCCTCTTTCCTCATCCGGAATCCACCACATATGACGGTTACTACTGAATGAAGATGAAAAGGTAATTAATGTCAGCAAAACTGTCTCATCTCTGTCAATGCGCTTGATCGGGCCAAATGAATGACACTCGAGCCCTTCCTTCCATTTCCTGCTTCGCAACACCCTCCAGCCTCAATGGCCCCCTCGCACCTTCCAATCCCTAAGCTCCCCTCCTCTCCTTGTTCCCCTTCAGTCTCCCCTCCTTCACCTTCTAGATCCACACTCCGTCGCTGTTTATCTCGGTCAACTACTATCAGTGACTTGCAGGATCCGATGCGTTTAATTTTCGCGGCCTTGACCTACAGCGAAGAAAATCATCATCCATTGCTTCTTGAACAGGATAGATAAGAGCTCGCATCTTGCACACGCCCCAATGGCTGGAGGAAGCCCAGGTAAGGTGCTCCCACATCAGCACACCGTACAAGGTCCATGCACCTCGCTCATATCATGTAAGTAGATTAAGGATGCTGCAACAAGCCAGAAAAATTGCGCTTTCCCGCTTGCTGTTCCACATGTTGAACTGTCAGAGCCCAGCCCAGCCCAGTCCAGCCAGCCAGCCAGCCTCACTTTTTCGCCCATACAACACACATAATATGTGCTTCCTCCTAAGGGCCCAAATAAATGGAGATGGCTTTTGGCTTGGGGGCCTGAGTGTGGTGGTATCTTTTGCTTTGGTACCATACAAGCGGGAACGGAAATGAAAACAGAAACCGAAACCAAACCGGCGGCCGGAAACGCGGTAATACTATAACCGGTAATAACGCGGCGTTACGACGGTCGCAATTGAGGGCGCGCCATTATTTCGTTTCCTCATTAGCTCATTGCCTTCCCTTTTTGGTGCGTTGCCCTTTTCTCTCCTTCGTCCATTAGTCTCCCTTGCCACGTTTTTTTCGACCCTCAGCGGCCCCGTGCATTGGCGTCCGCGTCTTTCCGTTGCCGCCAGAACCCACCATCACCTGCGTGGTGGGCTTTTCTTTCCTGGTTGTCGTTGTCTCCGGTATCTCCAGGATCCTTCTCCACCGTGACCAACGCCGATTCTTCTTGGCCGCCAGCAAAGTCCATGGTTCTATGGTGGCTGGTGATCTTTGGGCGCAGGGGTTCGAGGGTGTACTTCCGCGGCCCAACTTGGGGCATCCAGTCATCATGCGTCATCATCGTGATGATGCTTGGATGTTTGTCCACCGTGGGAGGCAACATTGAGAATTCTGGAGACTGGCACTAAGCACCTGTGAGGTGCTACTGCAGGAAGGTACTAGGAACCAAGGTACTAGTCCTACGTAGGTGAGTAAGGTACCTTACTCCTCTTCAAGTCTCCGAGGGCATAAGCACGGAAGCTCTGGGGCAATTGGCCAGGCCGGAGAGCCGCGTTTGTCGGTAGGAAGGCGGTCTGGAATCCTTCCACTTGGGAACTAACTAATCATCGTTTGGACCTGAACAGTATTAGTTTACCGCCGGCAACGGGAAGAGCAAGACGGGAAGCTCGCCATGCTAGCTGGGATCATCGATCAGCCCGCATACGGCTACGGTCACGTGATAACTAGGGAGCCTATGAGCAGGCGCCCTGGGTCAGCCCATCACAATATCCTCGCCCGTTTTGGGGCTGGCGTGGATGTCGGAAACTGTCGGTAATGCATCCATGGCGGGATGTCAGAGCGACTGGCCTAGGGTGATGGTTCAGTGGCTTGGCCCTAAAGGAAGAAGGGGGCAGAGAACCAGGTTCACCTCCTGGGCCTGTCTGTGCTCGCTCGGGTAGAAAGTGTGTGTGGGCAAGTGTGAGCGATCTTCCTCACATTATGACGTGGCGAAACGAGGAGACAAACAACTCCAGATGGCCCTGCCAGGCTGCCCTGCCCGGCTACCCTGCCCTTCCTCCCAGCCGGGACTCGATCCAAGGGGAGAGATCTGGGCTTCAGCGCCACGAAGTCGTACCAGAATCTCCCCTTCTGTGCCTTACATTCTCAGTTCTGAATTATTTCGGTTCGGGTCGGTTCGAATCGCGCATCTGACCCCCTGCACATGGGAACATCTTGTGATAAAGAGCCCGGCAATTCAAGTGTGACAACCTGTACGAGGACTCTGGGTGGTACACTTACACTCCCCGTCCAGACGTTTCGTCGCGTGACGATGGGATGGGAGGTTAGGCTCGGGAAGAAGAGTTTGGTGACCGATGCCTGATCTGGTAGGGATGGCTTGTAACCACTCTACTCGCTAACGCGCCTTTCTCTACCCTCTTGGGCCCTAAGCCGTCAGGGTGGCAAAACCGAAGCAGATGCACACAGGCCACACAACCCTCGAGATCCCCGCTCGCAGAAATAAACGATCAGGTTCCCCTACATACTACTTCAGTTTCTAGTGCTCACAGCCACGGGCGACGCGGGCAATTTTCACTTCATACCATCCTAACTTAAATCTAGTGTCCCAACGTGTTGCTAGCTGGACAAAAAAACGCGACGGGGAACATACTGAACATATAATACTAACCGATAGTCAGCTGGTGCTGGAATTGCTCAATCCTTCATCCATAGTCCTGCTTGCCGGATCGACTGGAAGGATACTTGGGGACGGCCCTCCGGGGGGTGGGCTCTCGTAACCAGCAACCAAGGATCTACGGCAAAGCACCCGACGACACATCACATTGCTGATTTTTGCTCCTAGTAACTTAATCCCCGGGCGCGGTCATCAGCCGCAGTCAACCAACCATGATTAACAGCAGGAGTGTACCCTCTACCTTCGGCCGGTTGTATGCAAGGGTGGAACAATGGCAGGCGGTACTCCTTGTTTCCACCATCTTCTTCCCTCGTCTTTCATCCTAAAGGAGGGGGGTAGGATCGCATCGAAGCAGACCCAAGTTCACGTCGTATGAATAGGAGCCCAGCGACACCAGCAGCGCGCTATCTAGATTAGAATGTAAATCTTCGAAAAAAGCAAACATGCGTCTAGGCCGTCAAGCTCGCTGCACGATTTTTAGGGAAACCAAAGTACGAAGTATATTTCCTCTTTGTTAATGACATGGTCCTATTCCTTACCAACCACTCCTCCAACCTTCTTGAACGGTTTCTACAAACCGAAACTCATTGCCGTGTCTAGTATTTCTACCAGTGACAGGAAAGGATAGTACACAGCCAGCCAACCAGTCAGCCAACCCAGAGTAACCAACTACAGTGACATCGTGTTCAGGAAACGAGTTCCGTATCTGGAACAATAAGAGCAAAATATTGCCAGTCGACTACTAGTATTACTCTTCAGCTCGAATTGGGGGCCCGTATTATTGAGTTGCGCCATCGACTCTTTGTTTGGCTCCAATTACCGAAACCGGTATGACGTTTATTATTCCATTCCCGCGTACTCGAATTTGAGGAGTATTCTATTGTACTGTTCTTCGAATCATGTATGTGTCTTTCTTTCTTTCCTTCTCGTCACCCCTCTTCCTCTGTGTGCCTAACTAGCTTAAGAGGAGAGAAGAGTTGGGGGTGGTGGGACTTGGTGTACACCTCTGTGCCCGAGGAGGATGGAGAGGGGAGAGGAGAGGGGCTGCAATCACGGTAATGCCGAAAAAGTTGGGAATATCTAGTCTCGATTGGAGAAATGAAGAGGGGAAATAGAGGCTCCACAGGCAATTAGAAGCAATTACACTTAAGCATATCGAGAGATATCGCGGATCCAGTGCTAAGCGTAGCCGAACAAAGATATCGGCCATACAAAAAGAGTTTTGAGCACGGATATCGCGCATAATCTAGATGGGCCCCACGGCGCACACAATGAAGGCTCAGGTTCCGCGTCTCTTTTCCACCCTGGCGCGCTTCCTCCACTGCGAATCCCGTCACCGCTTCTCAAGGGAATTTCAGCTCCTACGGTAGCGAAGATGGGGGATGAGAAAGGGGGACGAATCAAGAAGAAGGTGATAGAGCTCCATTGAGGGGGAAATGGGTGATGATCGCCTATCGAGGCCAGAAAGGGAAGTTGGGTGAAGCGATGGGCACTGGGTAAACGATGGGATGCGCGCCTATTGAGCGGAATGCCCCGCTGGTAGTGTGGACGATGGGTCGAATCATGGCCGATCGTCGACAAGCACAAGGTTTCATGGCTTGCAGGCAAGACAACTTTGTAGTGCCCGGGAGAAGAATTTCGCAGGGCGCAATGGAATTGCAAGTGCTGATTCGGAGGCCTTTTTCACGGGGTGGGTTGTCTCTCCATCTATTCTTGTGCGGCACACACACTCACACCCCCTTTCCACTTTTTCTCTTCTGGGTCCCCCAGGGCTTACAGCTGTCCGGACCGCAGAGGATATGCTTCCGACGTAGCATTGGCTAGACCGGGGAATGACAACCTGGGGAGAGGGGCTGTACAAATTCCCCCCCACTCAGGTCTTACAAGACCATGGAGTGAAACAAGAAATTGTGCGTTAGCCATTTGGGCACTGATGCAGAGTGCGGATGTTTGCTTCAATGGGACGAGGGGAAGCAGTGACCTGTGAGAGTCAAGTCATGGACGAATTCGCACTCGTGCAGAAGTGGATAACCTGCTGCTGCTGATAGATGGCCAACGTCGTGGAGCTAACGGCACGTCCGACGGCCCGGCTGCGGCGCGCGGACAGCAGGCCATAACATGCACGTCAGTAGTATCATCCTGAAAGCCTGAATCTCAAAAGTCCCGCGCAGTCCTGGGGGTCATTGGCATGATGGCCATCGTCATTGGGGGATGAGAACTGGCGGTAAGGGAATCCCGGAACTAGGTGCTCGAGTATGCCAGGTCCTTAGCGCAGTAAGGAACGAATGTCGTACCGATTTTACAGGATAACCGGTCAAAGGGAAGCAAATGTGGTAGCATCCTGATCCTCTCATGGACCCGGTCGAGAGCCAGAAAGACTGTAGACCAAAGGTACACCACGCAATCGTCCGTAACGGGAAGGTTATTCCCATCCACAGGACAGGTGAAGGAGAGACAACATGGGTGGAGATGGCCATGGCAATGAGACAACATTACTCACCTACGGATCCAGAATCTACACACCAGACCGACGAGTACTCACGGTCTTGGAATTCCTTATCAGGGTATACGATCCCCAACCATGAGCCACTCATCCCATCTCTTCGGAGGCTGAACTGTTTTCTCCGGCACTGGATCGGCTTGACGATGCTATTGGAGTACGTGACCTGTCGGATGATATTTCTTGAGGTCAGTTACGAAGTTCCCACAACACGACAGAGGCTTTTGTCGCGGCACTTGACCATCCTCTGAGTACAACTGGTTGAGGGTGGGTAACATTGCGCCCGAAGACACACCGCTGGGAGGCTAGTTAGGGAAAGGGAAAGAGGAGGGGCAAGGGGCACAGTGGAAAGGGCCTTGTAATGATTGATACGGCAACTAAAATCCAATAGACGCAGGCGCGGGCAGGCGGGGGGGAAAAAGGCTAAACGGCGAGGGAACAATGGGTGGTATGGCTTACGAAGGGTTCCATGATCCCAGTCAGAGCTGTCATCCTCTCTTGTGCATATTGGTACCAAACTCTCCCCTCTTCATCTGCGAGAGACGCGATGGTGAAACAACGAAGAGGAGCAGCTGGATATTCTCATTATCGATTTGGTAGCCCTAGGCAGACAAGAAGCTCTCCCAGTATCGTAATTGGACGAAGCGGAGACCCGCCGGGACGGCGGCAGATGCTGAACCATGGAAACAAAAGAGACGGTGCAGAAAACTCTTCGAGACCAAAGCACTTTGGTGGGACGGCGCAGGCAATTTCCGTGTCAGAACCAAGAACTGGACAGCACCTTGGGACGTCGAGACTAAAAGGAATGAATCTAGTGATCCACCGACGGTCTTGGGCAGACTCAGCCAGCAAGTGCAAGAATCAATCCACCCAGCGTGGCCCCAGGGTGCAAAGCCGGAGCGCAGACACGGTTCGGGTAGGCCCAGTCGGAGGGTCCCGTTCGCGGCTGCGCTTACACCTCCTCCAACCCAGAACACACGGCAGACCTGCCATCACAGGCAGCCAGGAGGTCGTGAACTGCATCCCCAATCTGGCGTGTTCCCCTTTCATGGGGCCAGGGGCTATCGACCCTAGATGCGGCGCTTTTCGTCGAGATGGCCCTGGTCTTTTTCCTTGCAGTCTTTGACGCCGAACGGTGTCGTTTTCCCTGATGTGGGAGAGTGTGACACCTCGGAAGTGGCCGTCAGAGCTAGCAAACATCCCCCTGTGAGATGCTTCAACATCTGGCACCAGTTTGCCATCTTCCACTTTGTCACCCTCGTTCTGTCTTCTTTTGGAGATGATGGTATTAATATACCTGGGATAATGATGACGTCCATGTTCCCAACCAGATGAGACGCATTAGCAATAACACTGATGGACCAGGAATCTCCCTAGGTGTCACTGGGGACCGACCCAGGTACAAGCCTTCGTTGAGCGCGGTGGACCGAAATAAAAATGCAGGAAGATCACATTGCAATCACTGTCATGGCCTTTCGACGTCTGCCGGATAGAGGTAACATGGAGACGCGAGGGAGGGCCAGATATCCTAGGCCTTCGCTTGGGTGCGCTCTGCTCAATGTGCTTGCAGAAGTCCTCCGCAACTGACCTCTTTCATCATTCAGCATCGTGCTGAGTTTCTAGCAACGTAAAAGTTTCCTCAGCATTGCTTTCAGTCGTTCAAGCTCAAGCCCATTTGCCTCGAAGCTAAAGCTTTTCAGCCTCATGCCTCCAGATTTCGGGCTCTAACCACATCGAATCCTTGTCAGCTGCTATTGTTCATTATAAGGCGTCTTGATCAGAGGCTACCACGGTTTCAGCTGAATAACCCACCGAAGTCCGCCGAAGAATAGCGCCGAATTTCGAGTTTAGCAGATGGGGAAGCGATAAACAGCAAGGGAAGAAGCTCAAATTGATAGGGTCAAGTGGTCTTGGATGTTGCGATTGGAGTGGAAGATCTTCTTGGTTGCTAGACGAGACAAGGAAGACGCATAGGTCGAGAGTGACTGCGACCGTGGCGTATGCGTTCTTTCGTCTCTGCTAACTCATCGAGAAAGCAAGTTCTCAGGCTGGTATGAAACGTAGTAAGTAGGGGCATCCCCTCTTTCCCTGCGCAGAATCTGATAAGGGCTTGACTGACACCAGTCTCAGCATAGTGCAGCATATGCTCATAGCCCAGTGGCGGCGAACTGTATCTACCCGGAATTCATGGTTAGCTTGACTAGCCTCGCATAGTATCATCGCACAGGAAGTCAAAGTGATAATGTTAGAAATACACATTCTATCATACCTCATCCGGTGTGCGATCCATGCTGAACCTTACGTCTCTGCGTATGCCCAGTGTTTAGAGCAAGGCGTATCGGTTATGGCTTTCTCCGCAGTCAATATCTCGAGCGACTGCCTTTCATCTCCACTTACCATATCTCTCCAGGTGTCTTTGAATTCGGGCTGTCCTTCAGAGAGCATATCAGTGAGCTTCTCAAACTCTTCCAAAATATATGAGTAGCCCCTTTTTTTGCCTTGCAATCAGCTCAAATAAGTCTCAGTCTGAAGTGTAACGACTTCATCCGCACACGTTGGTTTTGATGATACCTCTAAAACGCCCCCATCAAGTCTCGGCGAATTCTTGCAGAAAGAACTGAATTTGTATTGCAGGGAGGGTATTGTCCTGGTAGGCCACTGCTTCTGGACTGGTCACTTTAGGCTTGTTGATGAATACCCCCTTGCCAAGGGCTCAGCAATTTGTGAGCTTATGGGGGGAGGTGGCAGTGTCAGCTTCGACGACACCCAGTTTTTCCCGCCTCTGACCCGTTCAACAAGGTAAATTGGCTCTGCTTCTGACTAATTTTATACTTCTTTTCAGTGCGCTCCCGGGGGACTTAAACACTTAACACTTGTGTTTTGGAGTCGCTGCGCTCGATAACCTTGGTCTTCCACCAGAGGATGCGGGGAATGACGTGTCTGGGTTGTTGTGGCTAGCGAAATACGGTACAGAGACCTGCAAAGGCTCGGGCTTTCGTTCACCGGGAGATTCTTGTTTGAGGATATTTGCTTTTTAAAGCGGTATTTTGGTAGCTCTCTTAGGGGTGGTGTCATCGTACTTTTGTTCCTTCGAACCATTTCTGGAGAATTCGGACAATCTGGTAGACGCGCGCCTTTTTGGCGCCGGACACTGGAGCTGCTGCCGAAGCGGGAACGGCCCGAGACGATCGACTAGGCATGGATAGGACTTGCGCACTTTTTGGTTTGGTAGTTCGTACAATTCTTGTAAGTTGCGCGCAGGGAGAATTATCGGCGGGTAACACTAGCTACTAAGGTACGCCATGATGCAAGATCGGATGAATTAGAAGAGAGATGGAGGAAATCAATGACGAATATAAGCTGTTCGGATGCTATTAGACGAATTCATTGACCCTGGTCCGGGTACGGGTGTACTCCGTAGCTAGCGACAGATTGACTTTCAGGCGGTTCGACGCGGACAAAGGGACCGGGAACTGAGACCAGAAGGCTGGTAACTTCTGGGGCACTTTTCGCGTGGGAAAAGCGCGGGTGACTTTCTTTGCTTCCCGCACCGCTAAACTTAGTGCGTTCTCTCGGGAAGTCGACGTCAGGTTCGAGAAGGATTTTGCAGGTCCACCAGGGTGACGAGCAATATCAATCAACCAACCAACAAGGACAAATACTTTGGTGTAGCCCTGATTCGAAGTGAGGCGCTGGGATTAGAAATTCCTATTGATCCACTTGATCATCAGCGTTACTCTTCATCATTCGGAGGGTGAGAGATAGTGGGGGGTTTTCGACAAGCGAAACGACCCCTCTAGCGGCCCTTGGATCTCTAGCCTGCCTATAGTAGTTTACTCCAGCGCTCGTTGCATGCGTCTGTTCGAAGAAGTCCTAGAAAAGCAAGGACTTAATAGTGTGCTCAGCAAGGACTTAATAGTGAAGGAGCACACGACAGCCCTCTCCATGGAGTCCTCATTGACAACCATGATCCCTGAGGTTTTTGAATCTCGCAAGCGCAAGATTCTCGCAGACCTGTCCATCCCGGACGCAGAGTATACTGATCTGTCGCCGAAGGGCTCTGTGGATGAAGGTATTCGCATCCTCATCAATGATATTAATACCCTACCAGGGTTGGTGACTACTAGCAGCTGTGCGGGAAGGATCAGTGTATTCCTGGAGGGGCGAAAGAAGCAACAGCAGCAGCAGCAGCAGCAAGCGGTGTCAGATGAGCAGCAGCAACAACAGCAGAGGCAGTTCGTACCTTCCGGGGGCAAAGGAGCAGGAAAGTGGTTATATGTGTCTCATGAGCCCTTGCAAGAATATGGGAAGGTGCGAGAAAAAGAGCAAGAGCGCCAGCCACTGCATGAGTTGTTCGGGATGATGCCTGGGGATGGCAGGCCACCCGGTTTAAACAAGGATGGTCAAGCCCCGCGTCTCGTGCGCTTCTCTTTTGAGCCTATGGTACGTCCTTCCCCTCCCCTCTTTGGTACCCTGTTGGTCCCTACCACGCTTGCGTTCTGCCATGATTCTTGCCATGTCCGGGTTTGTAGTGTCAGCCTTATCAGTCAACCCCCGGTTTGCCCTGTAAGCTATGGAGGCTTGCGTTCCATACAAAATAGCACGTACCTTGTTCATCAATGCTCATTTACTGACAAACTCTTCCAACAGATCCTCCATATTATGACGGCCACATTACACCATGCTCACCCCGTGCTATCTGCCGCTTCAACCTCCGGCTTTCGTGAGAGTGGACTGCAGAGTCTACGTTGCTTAGAGGCGAATGACATTGAGGGCCCAAGCCCCATCGTCGCTGTGCGCTCTGCCGGTCTCTCATTGGAGTCTGTCATCGGGTATTGTGAAGAAACTTATGATGATAATGATGATAATGGAGAACCCATTATCCGCAGTCTGGTCACGGAAGAGTTTCTCGAGATGCTGGTTGCTATCTCGAATGAAAGATTCGCTGTGAACTCTGAACGTAAGGAGAGATTTCGCGCGAATTTGTTAGATCTGTGTTCGACGGACCACACAAAAGCGAAAGGAAAGTCTAAGCCCCCTGGTTGGGAGGATCCGGAGAAGCGAAGGGAGAGGATGAGGGCAGAAGGACTGAAGAGGAAGCAGCTGGCGCAAAATCAGAGGAAGGAAGTTGACGCGGATTTGGATCTGTCGGGAGCAAGTCTGGAGTAATTAGAGCTCCCGATTCGGTTTTTTATTGGCTATTTAAATCGAATACAACAGATACGACGTTGAAAACAATATGCAAAGAAACGAGAAGAAAGGCATCAGTTTCAGTTCCACGTTAGTAGCTCAATGAAAGAAACGAAATTCGTCAACACCTGGCCGTATATGAAATTGTTTCAACGGAAGAAAGGGACTTCGAAAAGCAAAGCAAACAGCAGAGTAAGGAGAGCACAAAATGGCTCCAATGGGATGCAAGCCCATTGTGATCCCAGTTCACATCGCACTAAATCGCTAAACCCAACCATTTCCATAAACCAAAGTACTCCGTTAGTCATGATCATATCTTCGTTCCTCATCAACACATGACGGTTCCTCTTCTGGTTCTGGGCCGCAACACCAAGGTATGAAAATACAACTAATATCCGCAGATCCTGAACTCTGTCCAGAAGGCACTTCAGGTAAGACAGTACCTATTCAGAAACGCTCAGCACAGCATATCCCCGGTATTCTCACTCCTGCCACGGTGGACCTCACTGGTTCAAATCTTTGAGACAGTTGGGCGATGAATGGGTGATGCGGTGACTAGGAGCTCGGAATTTCTTCTGAGGGCTAAAGAATACCTTCTGACCCCAAATGCCTTCGGTATCAAGCAGGGCGCTGCCGCTGCCGCTGTTCCAGCATTCGCTGGCACGACGCGATGAGGCCTGCAAAACGCTGACCCGGGACACATTCTCATTTCGGGGCACACTTTTATCAGTGATTGGAGAGGTGGGGGAAACACTGCTTGAGGTGCTAGCCATTGAAAGTGGTCTGTGGATTGTTCCCATGGAGCCGCTCTGAAGAAGGCAGTTGAGCACATTGGTCTCACGATTAACGGCGTCAACCCAAAGTGTATTCTTAGCGACATCGGTTGGCCACTCAAACCAAATGCGACCGAAGGGTGATATGAGAGTGGTATTGTCAGCAGGGAAATTGTTCGGAAACTCGCGACACACGCCCTCGAATCTACCGTTTGCGATCACACTGGCATACAACTGCTGTAACTATCAGTGAAAGGAAATAATGGGCGAAGAATGCATGACTATATGGCACGCCAAGAAGAGTTTTGACAGACTACAATGATTCTGAAGAGATACATACCGCGCAAGTGTCATAGTCAAAGCCAGGCAGATAGACCAGAGTATCGAAGGGGAACCACTTGCTCATGTCTCCCAACTTGAGGATTTCGCTTTTCTCGCCGGCGTGAATGCAAAGGGTATATTTCTGGCGCTCATTGAATGCAGGGCAATTTAAACCAGCGTAGAGGAGCTCGCGGAGCAGACGTTGGTCAAGCCCAACGGTCTTGGACTTCTCCATCCGTGACACCAGAGAACGTATGTGACGGGTTGTCAACTCGAATAGCTGATTACGGTCGTGCACGGTGTACATGTCGGTTGCATACCAAGGAAACTATGCCCTGTCAGGATACTATCACTTTTATCGGAACCAAATCCTACCTTATAGAGCGTGCTTATGGTAGATTCGTAAGTACGCTGGGGGCACTTGGCGCCGAATGGAGACTAAGAAGTTGTTAGACATCTCTGTTTTGGAACGAAGTCGGCTGAAGGGCTTACACGTTGAGGCATTTCAGCGTGACGAATGGCGCCGATGATCTCTTCACTGGTAAAAAAGCCAGTAAAGCCGGTGGAATATCTGTCAGTATTCTCCACGACTTTAGGCGTACCATTTTCCCAGCTTATGCACTTTGCACGTGGAAACAAATCTTTCAGCAGGTCCTCTTGGTTGCTGATCTCAACTTCAACGTGCCTATTGCCGAGTCGAGGCGCACGTCCACATTCATAGATGCGGTTGATTCGGTTCGCCGTCTCTTCAGCGTCTTCAGTCGAAGCAAACTCCACAAAACAATCCATCGTCTTAGCAGTGGGACGCTCCATGATAATGTGGACTGCGTGGCCCGCAACAAGCCGCGCCTGTCTGCCAACAAACTGGAAGATCTCCTGCTTGGTGATGGAGTAGGGGATCTGACCCAAGTTTAGTAGACTTCGCTGAAGAACGAGTCAGTCAGTTACTTACGTTCGAAATCTTGATGACACCCCAGGTAGGGGCTTCCATGTAGCGGACCAAGCTCCCGTATGGCACCTCGTTTGACGGAGCAGCTCTGCTAATAGGGTTGGGATAGCTTGCAAGATTCACGTAGGGTCCAGGCTTATTGTTGCCGATATTCATCACAGGGATACTAGAAGAGGTCAAGAGAGTGGAGGACGCTCCTGGTTGTTCAAGCCGACCTGGTTGGACAGGAACCGGGGTGAGGCGGTTGGTAGCAAAGGGAATACAGACGGTATCATCAGATGGGTTTGGGGCGTAGCCTAGGAAAGGGTCGTAATACACATTTCTGGAAGCGACAGGATTGTACTGTGGCTCTTGAGGCTTGGAAAGATTGATGGGGATCCTACCAAAGGGAGGCATATTGAGCTTGTGAGAAAGGTGGTCTTGTCTGGAAAACGCCATGTTCGAGGCTGTATGACAGTAGAGAGAGTAAAAACGTGAGGGTGAGGATGAAGATGAGCGAGGAAGAGGGAGTAGGTGAGAAAATTGCGAAGCAAGTGAGCAAAGAGAAAGGTAAAGCAAACAACCTCAGCGAGAGAAGGTTGTGAGATGATTTGAGAAGAAGATCCTGGGGGGAAGGGGAAGGGTCTTTATTTGTTACCCTACACGCGCTGCCACATCTGCTAATTCACTGGTCCCTTTGTATGTGAGGACTGTTACTCACTTGAGGTGTTACTCAAGTATCATCTGATGAACGGTGTGCAGGTAATGGGGAAGGTATCTGAATGGCATCCATGAAGGACAGCGATGTAATGACCGAGTGAAAGCCATCCAAAGAGCCATGTGCTCGGCGGGTCTGGTTAGTAGAAGAAACACATGTCCCTGATAAGATTCCCCGGGACCCGTCGAGTGTACAGGGCGATGCGGATCCTCTGTTCACTGTTTAGATGGAGAGGCAAGAACAAGGTAACTTGCTTTTCATGCTGTCATTCTCGTTTGCATTTGCCGCCTTTACTATTTTGTTGGTGTGCAAATGGGACACACCGTGCACTGAGAGAGAACAAACAACGGGTTGACCCGGTTGAAGCTCAGACGATGAATCTCCCCCATCTGGATATGATCATCTGCACTGTCATAGCAAGCAGAGGGATCTAAGAACGTAATTAATGCTGAGACTTCCAGCAGCCCTGTTCAGACTTAGTCGTACACAACACAGAGTGTTCGGTTCTACGCAGCCTGGATTTCCCTGTAATGGATGAATTGGTCGCTACAAATTTGATTTCGAGATATAATATGGACGACTGCAGAAAGGAACATGCATCAAACTTCTGTACAAGATATGTTCCTGAGAGGAAGGGAAGATCAAGGTCATGTGCCAACCATGAAGCTGGGGTGATCTAATCGAACTGTAATCCTATCAGTCAGGTTCAACTAAAGTAACCAGGGCGACTTACCGGTGTCAGGAACGACTCGGCAACGAAACGGGCACGGGCATTCAACTAGAGGAAATGTTGGTCAGAAGCCTCCATCAATCAGAGACACAAGGGGACATACGAAGAGCTTCATTTCCGAGATTTCCTTGTCCACTTCCTCCATACTATTAGACGAAGAAGTCGTTAGCCTCTCATTTATCGAACGACATATGGGCAAAGCAGATGAAACATACAATTGAATGATAAAGTCCACCAGTTTGTGTTTCAGCATCTGTTCGGTATGGAAGTTCGTGATAAGGAATGAGATGTCATAACCCTTCACTGGCTTTCTCCGTAGAATGAAGAAGGATTCCGCGCGCTGCGTCAGGAACCTAGTGAACTTGTGGACCAAGATATGTTCGATCTCATCTGCCTGCTTGATTCGGATGCTGACACGGACACTGTTCACGCTGGGCTCGATAAGGACCCTCTCGTTCTCATTCCGGGAGATTGTAAGGGGGTTGAGAAGTAATTCGGGAGAAGTTGCGGCTTCGATTTCGGGAACATTGCTGTCCGGATACCGGAATTAGCCTCGTCTGACCCATAAGGGTGAGGGGGTGGGAATCGGCCCAACGTACTGTCTTTCGGAGGTTTGAGAAGCGAAGTTCGATATCGCGAGTGCTGCCGTTAGTGAGGATCTAACAGCCAACAGGTATGGACGCAATGATTGAGACTGGTCCTGTCAGCTTGGTTTGTAAATCGAACCCCTGGACAAGGATGATAATCACCATAATGGGGGTTGTGACGTATAGGCGGCGCCCCGGAGTGCTGAGTAGAAGGTCGCTGGCGAGCTTGATGAGAAGACAATTGTCAAAAATGCAAGTAAGGCACAGTTAGCAAGCAGAGGATCCGCGATTAAATTGTCAGAACCTCCCAATGAGTTTCAAAGCCTTAACTACCAGAGCGGGCGTCACCTAAGTACCTGAATAGCTGCGTCAGGAGCAACGTCCCGCCGCCCGGCAGCGATGTAGCCTGTAGTACGGCGGACGATAGCGGCCAACCGGTAAATGGCATCGGGGGTCCAGTATTTTGCCGGCAGAATCAGTTAACGCGCCCAGGTCACTCTGCATAGCCAGTATAGAGATAGTCTATTAGATCTGGATTGATTTGAGTTTATTTGTCCTTTATTCATACATAATTGGGAATATAGAATAATTGAGAACAGTCACTAATTACATCGACGGTCAATCAAAACACCAGGTTCTGCGCGCCTTGTAACCCTGCCGGGCTACCACAGGTAGTGGTTAGTGGGGAGAGAGGGGTGAGCTCCTGCTAAGCAACAAAGCGGTGAAGTCTCGAAGGAGTATAGTTGCATAATGGTTGCTATAGTTCGCCGTAGTACGGCCGTCGTTTGCCCCACGCTTTCTCCGGCGATGACTGACGCAGTCATTGTTTACGCAACTGCATCCTACCGCCAGACCTCAGAGGAGGTATCAATCGCATCCAAAATAGACCCTTGAATCAAGTCACAATGGCTTCTATACCTGGTAAGTATCTTCATGGCTATGTGCTCTATTCCAAGCCATCTCGTTACTTCTCCGCTGATCCCATGACGCAGTTGTTGTAAAGCACCAGGGCAAACGCTACGAGGTGGAGCTCGACCCTTCCCTGAACGGCGAAACGCTCAAATACCAGCTATTTTCTCTCACTGGCGTCGAACCCGAGCGGCAGAAGATCCTAGTCAAGGGTGGCCAGCTCAAAGATGACACACCATTGTCCTCCCTCAACGCCAAACCCGGCCAAACGTTCATGATGATGGGCACTCCGTCGGGCGGTCAAGGTGCTGGGGACTTGGGTAGACCAAAGGAAGTCGTCAAGTTTTTGGAGGACATGACTGAAGCTGAAGCTGCCAGAGCGGAGGGTGCAACGCCTGCAGGTCTGCAGAACCTTGGAAATACTTGCTACCTGAATTCAACGCTACAGACACTGCGGAGCGTTCCCGAACTTCAGGATGCGCTGCTCAAGTACCGACCTTCTGGCGGCTCTTCCGGAGGCTCTAGCCTTTCGAACCTCAGTAGTCTCGGTCTTGGCGGCTTGGGTGCTTCCATGGATCTCACGTCCTCTTTGCGAGACCTCTTCAAGCAAATGTCGGAGACGCAAGAAGGTTTCCCGCCGCTCATGTTTCTCAATGCTCTGCGAAATGCTTTCCCCCAATTTGCTCAAAGGGATCGCAATGGACATGGCTATGCCCAACAGGATGCCGAAGAGGCCTGGTCACAAATCGTGAGTCAGTTGCGAAACAAGCTGGTCGTGAAGGAGGGCGAAGGTGACTCTGCCGCTGAGGTTTCGTTCGTGGACAAGTACATGGCTGGAGGGTTTGAGTCCACCACCGAATGCGACGAGGAGGCCGCAAAGGAGGCTGGCGAAGTAGCTACTAACAGCTCCGACGTTTTCTACAAGCTTGATTGTCATATCGGTAAAGAGACCAACCATTTGCATGACGGTATTATGGCTGGTCTCGAGGAGAAGATTGAAAAGCGCTCCTCTGTTCTCGACCGCGATGCCGTATATACCAAGCGTTCACGTATTGCGCGCTTGCCCAAGTACCTGACGGTTCATTTCGTTCGGTTCTTCTGGAAGCGCGAAACACAGAAGAAGGCCAAGATTATGCGAAAGGTCACATTCCCCGCTGAACTTGATGCGGTGGATTTCTGCACCGAAGAACTGAAGAAACAGCTCATTCCCGTGAGAGACAAGGTCCGTGAGATTCGGAAGGAAGAGGTGGATGTCGAGCGTGCCCGCAAGCGTCAAAAGCTCGCTCACCGGAAAGAGGAGGAAGAAAAGAAAGAGGCCGAATCTGGGTCAAGCATGGAGCCGATGCAGAAGAAAAAAGCTGCTGAAGAGCGCAAGGGAGAACCTAAGGCTGCGGAGAAAGACGGAGATGAAGCCATGACCGATGTGTTCAAGTCCGATGCAGATTACGAAGCTGAAAAGACCGCCTCAATTCTTGCCGCCAAGAAAGAATTGTCTGAGCTCATTGATCCGAGTCTTGCCTCAGACAGTGGTGTGAACAAGACGGGTCTCTACGAACTACGTGGTGTGATCACCCACCAAGGTGCAAGTGCGGACAGCGGACATTACACTGCGTACGTGAAAAAGCAGCCCAGCGGTGATGGCGCAAGCACCGAAGACAAGTGGTGGTGGTTCAATGATGAGAAGGTTACCGAAGTGGAAGGGGAGAAGATTGAGACTCTTGCTGGTGGTGGTAAGTCCCTGACACAATTGTTACTTGGTTTGAATAGCGGACGGCCGTCTAACCTTCATATCCAGGTGAATCCCATTCCGCACTTATTCTCCTCTACCGGGCGGTTGAGGTGCCGACGACAAATTAAGCAGGGCCCTCACTTTATCTCACGAGTATCAGGCTAGAAACGGTATGCATAGATAATGAGCTTATGGCTGAATGTTAGGAACATGTGTTTCTGCTAAACAAAGTACTGCAAAGATGGTTTTGAGTCAATCAGTATAATTGCCTGCCTTGTAGCTAGCACCAGCTGTAGATTGTATCTAGACAACAGCGTACCTTCCAATCACGTGATAATGCAGCAAGAGCCGAGGGATCCCCTATCTTATCTAATCACTGGTTGCTTCGTCGAGCTCTGCGAAAATGCTGTGTCGTTGATGAAACCTGCGATGTGAGCATCATGTTTTCCTCGCGCAGAGTCCTACAGTCGCAATTACGCCTCCTCCAGAGCAAACCGCTGTTACCATGTCGATACACACTCCGTCCCTCGAGGAACACCAGTACTGCCGCCCATGAACCGATACCTCAACCGTCGCGGTGGCCGCGACGCCTGGCGTACATTGCGATTTTCGGTAGCCTTGGGATTGCTGCCGGAAAGTGGATGGATAGGAAGCTCGCACCACCGCCATTGCCCGATACAGAGGAAGATCACGAAAGACTAGAAGAAATCCGTTACATCTACGAACACGGGCTGCCCATCGTGAAGGAACTGCGAGAGAACCCCGACTATATAGAGGCTGATGTATACGGCAATTATTCGGAGGAAGATAAATTACAGAGGCTGAGTTCGGGTCCTTTACGAGGCAGCCGAGGGCTAGCATTCCAGGTCAGTTCTCGCCTTGTAGTGCATGCCGATGCCTCTACGAACTTTTGTGAAACCTGGCACATGGCTGACGAAGTGGTTACATAGAGAATATTCTACAATGATAAGGAGAAGGAGGCCATCAATGTCGCATATGTCGGACCGGGATTAGAAGGATGGCCGACGGTTGTTCATGGAGGTGCTCTTGGGACCGTGATCGATGAGCATCTAGCCCGAGTCGCAATCAGACATCTTCCACAACGCACTGGAGTCACGGCCAATCTACAGCTCAAATACCGTGCACCGGTGTACTCGGGTAACTTCTACACCTTCCATGCTACTCTGGACGAGGAACGGAGCACAGAACGCAAGGCATGGGTGAAGGGAGAAGTACGCGACCCCATGGGACGGTTGTGTATCGAGGCTTCCGCCCTCTTTGTAGTCCCCAAGTCCTATAAGCTTCAAGAGGTTGGAGAATGCTATTGAGCAGGCTGCGCCAGGATCTAGAGGTGCTATAGGTCTGGAAGGGCCTTTGAATTCATGCAGCCGTATCCTGCCTAGCCAGGGTCGTGCAAGGGACGACTATTCCTGGCTGGACTTTGTTAGCATTCTCGCCACATTGAGAGACTGTTATTGGCGAGGCCCTCCTGAGAACTTAATTCTTCATCCAGGATAGTGGATCCAAATTTTCATCCTCGTGTACATACACCCCTTCTGATTCATTGCCCCTCTTTTACTCATAGATTCTATGCACCAGTAACCTAGAAGAGGTTGAAAAAATTAGAGTTTCTTTGAAGACCGGGGAGACCGAAGCGACGTCTTTGACTTGTCGCCTGGTGGAGCGGCAGCCTGCCCGTTCAGCGACTGCAGGGCCCTTTCCGATCCTGCTTCTCCCCCAGGATTTCCCCCGCATTTTCCTCTCCTCCACATCCCATCCACGCGGTCAATTCTCCCGGTCGGCTATCCAGGGCCCAATGGTCGCCCTTGCATTTGCTCAACTGCCTCGGTTGTGTCTGAGAATGGTAGTATCTCCGGTCTGTCCACTCTCTGGTGACGCTTTGATGGGTTTGAGATCCTGCTGGGTTCCATGGGTCGTCACCCTTAAACGGTCTGGATCCACGCCCTAGTATCTATACAAGCCAGCATCATTAGAGACCCACTATGATGATCTGTGCTGGGGAAGATAAATAAATAGTACATGCATGGCTTGCAGCGAGCATTTGCTTTTTTCTAAATTTCGAGTCTTCTGTTTGATTGTTGTCGCTGCGCACCAATAGGACTCGCTCCAGCCTGCTCTCCCAACGCCCATGGAGCTCACCGATCACTCAAGTCAGTCGCAGACTGATGAAAAGGCAGTAGCAGAGTCACCTCCGACCGGCAATATGGAGAGGAAATTTAGCCATGATGAGGTTGTTGCGTACGAAGAGATGGGTGCGCCTGTGGACAACCCAGTATGTGCCTGATCAGCTGTGGCATTTGCGGCACACACCTCAAACTGACTGTGAACCCTGTCGATTGCTAGATGACCTTCCGTCGGTTCATGGGATTTACAGCAATGGCGTTCCTATGGACTGGAAGCCAAATTCCAGTCTATCTCTTCGGTGAGATCCTCGTCTGTATGCCGGATATCAACGTTCTAATAGCCTTTTAGGAGGCATACCACCTTACGTCTACGGAGACATTGGCGGTGCGGATCGATGGGTTTGGTTTGTAAGTAACCTACTAGGGATAAGGTGGCCAAGCGCTGATAGTTGCTGGTTAAACACAGGTCCTAGCCAACTTGCTGGCACTTGCTGGCGTTTGCCCTTTTGTCGGATCACTTTCGGATTTGATCGGTCGTCGATACGTTGCACTCATCGGAGCCTCCCTTGTTTGCCTTGGTATGATAGTCAGCAGTACGGCACATACGATGAACATTTTCATTGGTAGGTACACATAGTGTTATCCGCCATATCAATTGCTCTGAATTGGGGTCTAACAAACATACAGCGGGGATGGCAATAGCGGGCGCAGGTGCAGGTATCAATGAGTTGACTGCATTAGCCGCCACCTCAGAAATGGCACCAACTCGACAGAGAGGAAAATATGTCTCAGTGTTAATCTTCACCATCTTGCCCTTTTGCCCATCTGTGCTATGGGCTCAGCTTATTGCAGCACACAGCGGATGGCGCTATGTCGGAGCATTCTGCGGAGCCTGGAGTGGTTTCGGGTTGCTCATCACAGCCCTCTTTTACTTCCCGCCACCACGAGTCAATTCAGAAGGCTTAACGAGATCCGATATTATCAGTCGCATAGACTTCATTGGGGGGTTCCTCAGTATTTCTGGCCTTATCATCTTCTTGGCTGGACTGCAGTGGGGCGGATATATGGTTCGATTCCCATTTCCCGTCTTGGAAACGTCGTTCTAATAACTGACATATAAACAGTATGACTGGACATCCGCTCATGTTCTGGTTCCCCTGATTCTTGGCTTTGTAGTCTTGGTTGTGTTTGCATTTTGGGAGATCTATGGTGCCAAATATCCCATCTTTCCAAGCCGACTAAAGCAAGAGCCACGCATTTTGGGCTTGACCCTAGTCATCACGTTCATCTCAGGAGCAAACTTCTTCTCTGTTCTCATGTTCTGGCCCACACAGTCATTCAACGTGTATGGTCATGATCCCGTCGACGTTGGTGTTCGGAGTCTCCCCATCGGGTTCGGCATCATGGCAGGTGCTTGTATCATCCTATGGCTCCTCAGTGTCTTGCATGGCCACAACAAGGAACTTCTCATCATCAGCAGCGTCCTCATGACAGCCGGTCTGTATAACCCTTCGATCTTGAACACGAATAAAACGCTAACATCCACTCAGGCTGCGGTGCCATGTCAATAGGCCGACCAGACAACCTATACCAACTCTGGGGCATCCTAGTTATCGCAGGCCTAGGAATCGGGGGCATAATCGTCCCAGCCTCAATCATCACAACAATTATATGCCCAGACGTAAGCCTACCCCCTTATAAACAACACCAACCCTCCACACACCCCATAGACTAACTAACCAAATCTCCAGGACCTAATCGCCACCATCTCAGCCCTCACCCTCTCCATCCGCGTCGCCGGCGGCGGCATCGGCTATACAATCTACTACAACATCTTCATCTCCAAATTCGTCCCCAACGCACAACACTACATCGGCGGCGTCATGCTCACCGAGCTCAACATAACCAACACCACGTACATCGCCGAAGCGATCGAAATGACCGGTGCGTCTCTGCTCGACGAATTAAAGCTCATCCCCGGCATCGCGGGTAACGAGACTGCGTACAATGCCGTCGTGGCCGCGGGTCAGCTCGCCTACGCTGAGAGCTATAAGTGGGTGTATTATGCTAGTATTGGGTTTGGGGGCGTGTCTATCATCGCCGCTTGTTTCTTGGGGAATATTAAGAAGTATATGAATGATCATGTGGCTGTTGTGATGCACTGAGGGTATCCTTTGTTGCGGGGGGAGGTGAGGGTATAGGACATATCTTATTTATGGTTGGGGTGGGGGTGCTTGTTCTCTCACTGTGTTTACCATGTTGGGTTCTGATGATGATGATGGCTCATGATGTATAAATGACGATGATACGATGCGCACGTCTACTACACTACTACTACACACATGTATGAATATGTGAATTACAAGGAAAACATAACAACCCCACACTAAACATGCTATGATTATTTTCTCCATCGCATCTCTATGCAGCCCAACAATGAAATGAATGACCGTATACCCAGCGCCAGACACTTAATATGCAAAATAAAAAGTTCGAAAGAATAAAAAGACACAAGCTGACAATGCAGCGCCACAAACCACACTCTTCGTTAAAGGAAAACTGTCAACAATCAAGCATCATCGTTGACAAACACGGAAAAGAAGCAAAGCACTATCGTACATGCATCAGGGTATCTGCTAGGAGAGAAAACGAGGGCACCGTCTGGTTCCACGGGACTGGACTTGGGTTCAATCGACGCGTGTGGTCGATTTTTCTCTTGTCCTCGTTTTTTTCCCCCTGCTCTTCTCAAGGAGTCTTTGTTCCATTGATATATAGCAAATAGGAGTGAAAGGGATAGATATGAGATGTCATGACTCCTCCTTCAGTCCGCAGATATCTGTCCCCAGGACTCTATCGACCATGTACCAGAATTTCCAGTAGGTGTTCGACTTGTCGAAATCGAATGCCCCGTCTTCGCGGAGCTGAGGTCCATCGCCTACGATATCACCCGTGAACCAGCTGAGAATAGGGATGGAGCGCAGCACTCGCTCTGTGACTGTAGGCTGAGGTGGAAGGGCTTCTGTAATGGGACGGAGCTTCGTCCGACGCACCGTCGGGATATGCGTCATGAAGTCTGATTCGGGCTTGGGCTCCTTTACGACTGTGCGCTGCTGCAAGGGTGCTGGTTGCTCGATGGCGGTGGCTGTTGCGGAGCTAGCGGTGGGGGTTGATGATGATTCCTGCGACTCCTCTTCATGGGCATCGAGGATACTGGACAGGTTATTCGAGGCGAAAGATCTCGGCAGCGTATGGCGTTCCTTGGTGGCTGTGTCCTTCGGTTGGAGGAAACTCGTCGAATGCGACGAAGTCAAAGTGCGAGGCGCCGCCTTTGACTGGAGACGAGTCGCCTCCATGGATCCTTGTACGATAGGGGCATCCTCCGCAGGTCCCTGGCCATGATACAGCTCACAAAAGACCAAATGGCCATCGATTTCCTGCGGAGAGTAGAAGCACGCGCGATCGGCCGCTGTCGTCGAATCAAACGTGACTTTAATCCAGTGAAATCCGCCCGCATAGCGCTTCGATTTGCGATTCGCGTCCGCTGATAGGTTCGCCCGGATGACCACATCACCGCCGCTCAGGAGCTGCGAATACCCGTTCAAAGCATTGGGGTCGGTCCGCGGATAGTCCTCACAGATGAACCCGCGAGAGATCCGCTCGTACTTGTCGATCACTTTCCATTCGAAGTCCTTGCTCTTGTAACCGTATAGTATGCACTCGGTTGCGACCTTCTCTGTCTGCTGCTTCCGGGCGTTGTCGAGGTTGGAAGCGGAGGATGACTTGGGAAGGGTGTTGCTGCGCGCTTTCTCCTCTTCTTGTTGTTGGGCGAATAGACGCCCGAATTCTGCTACATTGGGGTTTTCGCGCTTTGCTGCTGGTGTGCCGGTGCGTGTGCGAGATCGGGTGTGTTCATAGCGGGCGTTTCTGCGCTTGCCAAATGGGCCAGATTCTTCGGGGGGTCGACGAGGGTTGCGAGATTCACTGGAAAAGATGATGGGTGAGATTGAGTTGAAGTTGTTTGGGGAAAGGAGGCAATGGTGTAAGACTTACTCTTTGTAAACGTAGCCCCAGGGTAGGAGGTTACCCTTCTCGTCTCTGGCGCGCTCCTCCGGAGGAACGAAGTGGTACTCCATTTTAGAAAATAATGTGGATTGTTGCTGATATACTAGATGAAAGGAAAAAGCAGAATTCCGGGACTGAAATTATCTCGTAAAAAAAGGAGGATATTAGGTGACGTTTGGATGAAAAAAAGCGGCCTTATGAAAGGATCCGTTGGATGGAAGCTGATTTCCGTCCAAAAGTTTTGGGCGCAACAAACAGTGAGTGTTAGCCCGGATACCGTCACGTGAGTCGCTGCGGTATGGACGGCGGATCTTGACCGCTTCAAGTCGCTTTACCCCAATTAATCATTATCATTAATATCTAACTAATATATAGTCTGGGCCTCAATAGATGTATTGAAAGGTCCTTCATTAGCTAGTCTGTATGTTCCTAGCACTAATTCGGCCTGAACGGTACTCATCCAACGAAGTTGTTGTCAATCCTAATTTTTCACCCATCCGCCCCCGTACAATATATACCAATAGATACTATTACTAGTAGCCCAATCTGTTAAACCCTACCGATTTCGGTTTAATGATAAGTCCATCGTGATCTACGACTGTCCTAAGCGCATCTCGTCTTATAATCACCCAGGTGATAATCCTAGGAGATAGCGCCTGATGAAACAGTCCTTCCTATCGAAGAAATGTTAAGTAACCTCAGCTCATGCGGCAAATCTGCGTAGGCCAGCATTCCTGAACAAAGCATGTTCCACAGACTACCGGCAACTATGTCAAAGATGCCTCCTATAACACTCAGATGACATATTTCGAATCTCTATTCAAGTTGCTGTTGCCGAAGAAATGTAATCCTTCCAACATCACCATCCAAACCACATACATCCCCAAACTCTCCTACTTCAACCCTTCTTCTATCCACATGACCGACGAACTCCGTCAGCGGACAAGACATGCCAGGTCCAGACTTACAGTATGGCAGCGGCACAATCTTGTCATTGATATTTATTCGGAGAAATGTCTCGTTCATATTGTGGGCAGGATCTGTTGGCGAACAGGCCATCCGTTCAAGCGTGACCCGACCGCCCATTGGCATCACAGTTGAGGTATACCATTTGCGGTCTTCAGCCCGATGTGTGACAGGAAGAAATGGGTCGTACTTTTCATCTTTCAATATGTCTAGCGCAGTCAAAAAAGGAGCTATATCCCCGTCGTGGACACTGGAACACACGTTAGACCCTTGGGTCTCAGCTCCCTTGGTCTGGATTCGAGTCACTTACAAACTGAAGAACATTGAACCCGCCTTGGGGCCATCTCGCAAAAGATTCGCTGTAGCATTCAGCCAAAGCCAGCCCATTGCGCCCGCGTAAGGATTTCCCGGGCCTCCACGATAGTAATGGACTAAATCACGTCCGTATTCGAAATTCTTCCAATCTTCGCGCGAAAAGACATCGCACCAGGGGCTTGAGCCCCGTACAGTCGTTTCAAAACCACACATTTCCTGCATGCTGAAGACCTCCCAATTGGTGAACCCCTCAAGCTCACGGTTGCCCTCCTCTACGAGCAGTCGCTCCGCAATAGACGGGATATACGCCTGCTGAAACAAAGTGAGCATCTTGATGCCGTTGTCATGGCCACGATCTTCGTCTTCCAGGTAGCTTAGACAGGTATCTCCCGGTGTGAGTGTATCAGCGCGGCGATCAAATGTCTCTGGGATGATCTCTAGAGCGGCCTTTCCGACCTTTTCCCAGTCAGACCCAAATAACCCAGAGGCAAAGTGTTGGGCTGTTTCAATGACGCGCTCGGAATCACTTGCCCAGAACTTTGTCTTCGCATCGGACGGAATAAGGTGTCCGTAACGGGCTGCGAATCGGACTCCAATTTCGAAGGCTTGATGAGTGCCAGCGTATGGACCGGTTGTGGTCAATTGCTCGAAGTCTCGTTCTGGATTACTGGTGATGTAGGTCCAGTTGTTTAGGAATGACAAAGAGCCGTTCAGCGGAATCCCTGCTTTATGGATTCTATCCAAAAGGGCAAGATGGCCTGTAGTCATGGTGAAATGTCTCGTTAGTAATATTCAGAGACTCTCCGGATGGCAGATCACCTACGGTTTCCTGCAGACCTGGTTGGATACCTCGCCGCATGGCGCGACATCTAATCGTCGATTAGCGAAATGGCATCTTGGATTAACAGAGAGAAAAAGTACCATGTGTATCTGGTCGACTGTGCAACTGTCCGGTACGTCAACCCCCTGTAGTTCAACGCCTCCGGCGGATTTCTCGACCCAGGGCCCATATCCGCCAAGGTGTTGGTTAAGATTCCAGTCGTCATGTTGCTCTATACATGGGCTTTGAAACCAGGCCCTCCAGCTTGCACCAAGAGCTGATGAGAAGACAGAGTCACGACAATTTGCACTGCGCGACAGACTATCATTATAATAGAGAATTCCTGCCACTGCAGTGAAGAAAGATAATATCAAAGAGCTAAGCGAGAGAACGTGGACCATGGTGAACATGGACCTCCCGACGTCATGGGCAGATGCATTTAGATGACATTATCTGAAAAGAGATGGATTACAGGCTAATCGAGATGATCGACAGACGGCTTATCAATGCTAAGAAACAAACAATGTTTGTCTTGTGTCCCACAGCCATGGCAACACCGGATTTGCGCAACATATCAGGTACTATATCTAAACCGAGGATTTCTGTCTCCCATTTCCTCAATTTCTTCTTCTGACATCCCTGCAATCTTCTCATCTTCCACTCCCTGTTCTCTGCGCTTATTCTTGCCATGGTAGTACCACCACATAAGACCATACACAACACCTGCAAATCCAACCAGCGACAGAGTCACTGCATTACCCCGAACATAACGCGGCGCTTCATTCGTCTTGTATAGGAAAGGAGACATGACGCCACTGACGTTGCCGAAAGTCAGTTGCAGCCCCGTGGCGAATGTACGCTTTCCATAACGAGGAAGAGTGGTCGGGAGCCATGCGAGAGGTAATCCGACAGCCACATATAATCCTAGGGCAATAAGCAAGGCGCCGAAGTAGTGTACTCCTGACGAAGAATCCGATATCAGGATTCCGTAGCCCACCACTGATATGGCGGCAAAGATGCAAGTAAATACTCCGCGACGCTGAGTTCTATCGCTCGCCCACGCAATTATCAGATAACTTATTGCGCCCACAGCATAACAAGGAATCGTAAGAGCTTGCACTTCGGGCGTTGTCCACGACCCCATGCCCTGGATAATGGTGGGGAGGAAGGTGCTGTACCCGTATAGCATAGTATCGACACCAAATTGAGCAATGCAGAAGGCGTAGATTCTCCAGTCCAGCGCACCTTCTTTGACGTCTGCCCAGTGAAATTTTTGGGCGGACGATGTTTGGCCCACGTCGCGACGACGAAGCCGAACTACTAGGGCCTTCTCCTCATCATCCAGGTAATAGGCTGTATCGAGGTCATCCGCAAGAAAGAACCAGGATAGGCCCCCTAGTATGACAGTTGGAATGCCTTCTATGATCATGATCCATCTCCAACCTCGTAAACCGGCGACGCCGTCCATGAAGCCGATGCCGTAAGCTAGAAGTCCGCCAAATGCGCCGGCAGCGGCTGCACTGCTGAAAAGGTAGCCCGTGCGCAGTGCTATTTCACGCTTACTATAGAAAATAGTGAGATATGTAACCATTCCGGGAAACAGTCCGGCTTCCACGACGCCTATATTTGTTAGCTTGGGCTCGCATTACCAACTCATGGTCTGTGACTAACCTAGAAGGATGCGACAAGCGATAAGGCCTCCATAATTCTGGGTTATCCCTGTGAGAGTCGCTATGATGCCCCACATAACCGATATCGACGCAATGTAGCGTGATGGCCTAAGCTTCTTGATAACCAAGTTTGACGGCACTTCGAAGAGCTAAACAGTATTAGACGTTGCTTCCAATCCACACATGTATGCGAACCCAGACATACACAGTAAGTTACAAACAGAATAGATACTGCAATTTGGTATTGATCTCCGACCAGGCCCAGGTCTTCTTCCATCCCATATAGACGGGCATTGCCAATGTTAACTAGGGCTTGTTAGCAAGCATGCCAATCATTCGTATAGTCATAAACTGGAAGTAGACTCGCGAAGTAACATGTATAGGAAGACATACCTCTGTCAAGAAAGCTAAATAGATATAGAAGAACGACAAAAGGTATGATATGTAGGTCAATCTTGCGAATCAAATGCTTCTCGCGTTTCTCATCCAGTAATGAGAGAGCCGAGTCATTGCTATCACCGCCATCCATCGAGCCTCCAAACTGAGTTGGAGATCTAGGATCAGGCTTCTGTTCTTCTTGGTATTCCATCTTTGCTGTTGGAGTCTATTTCGTCATCTAACCTTGTAAAGGAACTGCACATGGGCCGAGATTTGGTCCCAACTTCCCGTGGACAATGTAGTAGTTCGGGTTTCAGGACCTGACTAGATCCATGATACGCATGATATTCAAGAGACACAAACTGTACAATCCCAGAAATACTGATCACGATGGAAGTGAGGTGGGGGATTATTGAAGCAGAAAATGGTGGCGATCTGGTGGGTGGCCAAGATTCGCCAAGGTTCCAGCCCGGCTGGTTTTGACTTTAGTCTTCGCGGGCCTTTCCACCTGCAAACCCACAACCTTACTTGAGATACGCTCAAAATCAGTGGCTCGAGATACAATAATAGGAGTATAATAGGATTTAGTTCGCCACAAAATACCCATTCGGGGAATCCGTCGTTGCCAGCTACCGAGACTGTGCGGATATAGCTCCGCCGTTGCACTCATCCGGATGCAGATCATGTTGAAAACAAGGCGCGGAGATGACGAGAAACTCTATCATGTGCAAACACAACACACCAACAGAGCGGATCTACTCATAGCCAAACATGAAGAAGCAATCTGGGATATGGTTTAATGCAAACAGTCAACCACGAAACTAGCCCATCAGGTTGTGGGTCAGAAGAGCAATGGCTGACTTCACAATGATGACTGCCCCCAGGTTCATTGATCCCATGATAGTGCCTGTTTGGTACACGAACAGAAATGAACGGTGAAAAGGAAATGCATCACTAGGGGAACGTTCAAAATGGCTGCTCAATGGAGCGACACGGGCCTCCCGAAGAGGAATCTGCATGTACAAAGTGTTATGAATGATGCTAAGCAGGTCATAACTTCCACGAATAACCCATAGCTGACATAACAATGTAGCGCGAATTCGGGTCAATAGAGCCGCTATAAGTATAGAGAACGAAACACAGATAGCAGTGCATTACATCGATTGATCGCGATCTTTCCGCGACTATGCGAAGCCGCCATGCAGCCTCAAGCTTACGTCCATCTCTCCTACAATCAAGAGAGAGGAAAAAGCGAGTTGAGTTTTTCTAGGTGTTCACTAAGTAGAACCAAAGCCTTCTTGCCTCTTCCTCAGATATTTCTTCGGTTTCTTTCTCGATGTATAGCTGGAAGAGCTCGGCATGTCTTGCCTGGACCTTCTCGAAGTCAAGCTGAGGGGAAATCCAACCTTCATCATCTGTCTGCAGCAGTTCCTGTGTGTAACCTTTGAGTCTCTGCCAGTCCTTGTACCGGGAAAGCTCCATCTTATGTTTCGATAAAGCCTCACTTGTGATATGATAAGGACATTGCTCAGCAATGCCCACACCGTTCCAGTTTACAGCAAGCTGAGTGAGGCAATCACGGAGGGGAATTATCCCATCCTTGGTCGTGTTTTCTGCGAACATGAATAGATACCTGATAGCAGAGTCAACTTGAGTCATAGCCAAGTACGATTCCATGTGGTTTTTGACCAGAGATGCTTCGTAGCACTTCGAAAGCAGAGCTTGTTCTCTCTCGCTGATAGCAAATGCCTTTTCGTCTGCATCCATGTCTTCGAAATTTGGAGGTAATTCCGGCTTGACCGCGCCGATTTCGTAGCCATCAGGTGGCGCAAGAAAGGAGGGCCACTGAATTTGCATGAAAGCAGGCATAATAGAGGTGAACTGCCAATCAATTACATTGACTATAGCTGTCGGGTCTTGTTCAGAGACGTATATGTTTCCCATGTGAAGATCATTATGCCACAATGTAGGCTTGGCAAACTGTTGTAGACGTGTAAACCCGCCCAGGTGTGATATTATATCCTTAGCCATCGTGAGCATATCGAAGTGTTCCGATTTGGTGCCGAAATGGGGTGTACGAGGGTCGAGCGACGAATGTTCTAAGTGCGCAAGACCCCGTTCGATCAATCCAAGGCCAAGATCTGTGAGTCCCTGCCCTAAGGAATTGTAGATTTAGCATGATTCTCTGATGGCAGACCGATAACATACATGGACCTGCGTGAGCTCTTTCACTCAGCTGTGGAGAGCACGAAGCATTATATGCTGGGCCGACACAATAGTCGTCGTTCATTGGGACAAATAGGTCCGAGTTCTGAGCGTCTGAGGGAAGAAAGTACATATTTCCATAGGCCGGAAACTCCAAAGCTGCCAGCTGGTTCTGAAGCTGGACCAGACATTGAACAAGCTTGAACTGTTGCAGCTGATTCATTTCGCCCCATACATCGACCAACTGTCTTCCGCAGGCCCTTTCCATCAGGATATACTCGGACCCAACTGGGTTCGAGGCTTCAGAGCTCCAGCCCAGTACCCTACACACTGGAACAGAGGTATGAGACCTCACTGATAGAAGTAGGTCAGCTTATGCAGTCTTCGAGATGAAGGAAGTCGACAATACCGTATGCCATGACGGCTGCTTCGGATGCAGTGCTATGTTGCGGTGGAACAACCCTAGGGCATGGAAGTTTCGCGATAACCTCCTTTCCATTCTCTGCAGTCATTAACAAGACCTTGTTGAATCCTCCCTCCATCTTGTCGATCCTAGAGATGGGTGAAGAAACATGGGGCAGCGCCGAAACAAGGGCGCAGAGAGCATCCAGATCAAATTTGGCATATCTTTTTGACATCGCATGCTTCTCATTGACTAGAAACCGGCCATTTGTATATTCAAACAGCTGCTCGTGTTGGATAGGCTTTCCTAAATGTAGCGATGGCCATCAGACCGGACTGCTGGAGGAGATTTATGTGGAGCATACCGCGACACGTCAACGAGAGGCTTCTACATGCAGATTTTGAAGCAAGGAAGGTAATCTTCAGGGACCTTGGCCGTACTCTATGCATGGTGATTAAAAGGGACAATGGTCACTGATTCATGGGAGCACCATCATTCGGTTGTCGAGGTAGTGTCCCGACGCCCTCCCGGCACCGAGAATGCCCCTTTCCCCGTCTCCCTCCAGAAACATCCTGGTCATTTGTGCCCCAGGCACCCACATGTTGTCTGTTCAACGTGTGCGACGTCACAAACATCTCGACTTCGTCCAACCCTCCCAACCACGTATGAGCAAAGATAAATGCTTTAGGTATTATAGAAAAGCAATCATCCCATCGCAAGCCCTCAATAATCCCATCGGTGGAACCATGACATACTTTGGGCCTATTGACCAACTGAATTTCTAGTGTCTAGGTGCCAACACTGTGCGCGAATATTCGGCCTTCTTTCCTGACCCAGCCATCTTTCTGCAGGCTTAGTGCCGGTAACAATGGGGACTGAGGCAAGAATTGGTCAAGCGCAATCACTCCTTCTCTCATACGACGAGGATTGTCTTTACCGACTAGTTGTGATATAACACATGGGAGAAGCGGAAGACTCTTTATTTAGCTCCATGCAAAGAGGATATCAGAAATCTATCATGGTCGAGTAAAGTGCATTTCTGAAGGTTGGTCTCAATGGTCATGCTCAATCTACTACTTATTTGCTAATGAGATTCATGGGGGAGTGCTTTCATCTCCATCCACAGAAGCCTCGGACTCCAGCCCCGCCATGAGACCCCTCTTACGACCGCCTAAACGAATACGGACAGTAACTTCATCATGCAAGGGTCTTCGCTTGAAAGTTCTCAGTTTTGCAACACCTACACCGGCTTACTCTGCCGACTCCGTTTGGGCCTGACCAACGCTGTCCCCGATGTTTCTCCGCACTCGGCAAAGCCCCGCAGTCCGGGGCCAATTGAAGGGTTTGTGGAGTGGGCACCAGGGGTATACCGATGCCATACTCCGCAGTATCTAGTCAATTTCGCCGAGCAAAGGTTGAAATTTCACCGAGGAAGCGTAGACCGGTGGGCCGATATTCTCGGTCAAGGAGCAGGCATCCGCTCAATCCCGAGTGTGGTCCGTGGTACAATGTCAACAACACCCCACGCGGGGAAATGCATACATCCCTGAATGACACACCCCGGATTTGTGAAATACAATCGATGCCGATCACGCAAGTACAGCCGACTCACTGAGACAGCATATATTTGGACGAAAAGGGAGAGGAATCCCAAAGTGAAGTAAAAAAAGAGGAAGTCAGCGTGGGATTACAAAAGATATAGGTCAGATACGAAGTGGATGAGGCATTAAAACTCAATTCGGCGTCAGGATGTAGTAGAAGGTTTGTATATCTGGGCACATTATTGCAGGACCCCACTCCATTCAACGACAGACTCGGAGTCCACTGGCGCACATATAAACCCGGTCATTCTATGCCTGAAATTCCAGAGACAATCCTCAGTCACAGCGCGGTTTTCTCAAAGGGTTTGTTAGCAATGGCTCCTCTGTCGAAGGCCCTAAGTGTTTGTATGTTGTTGGGCATTACACATGCCTTCAACTATGACCAGCCTTATCGTGGTCAATACCATTTCTCACCCCAGAAGAACTGGATGAATGACCCCAACGGGCTCTTGTACCACAATGGAACCTACCATCTGTTCTTTCAGTACAACCCTGGTGGCATCGAGTGGGGAAACATATCGTGGGGGCATGCTATCAGTGAGGATCTCACCCACTGGGAGGAGCAGCCCGTTGCACTTCTCGCCCGAGGATTTGGCAGCAACGTCACCGAGATGTACTTCAGCGGAAGTGCTGTTGCCGATGTCAACAACACGAGTGGCTTTGGGAAGGACGGCAAGACACCCCTAGTCGCCATGTATACTTCCTATGTACCCACCCATTCCCGGACCATTTATAGCGTGCATATCACTAACAGTAGCATCCTAGTACCCCGTTGCGCAAACATTGCCGAGTGGCCAAACCGTCCAAGAAGACCAGCAATCACAGTCCATCGCCTACAGTCTTGACGATGGTCTAACATGGACGACATACGATGCCGCCAATCCAGTTATCCTCAACCCTCCCAGCCCTTATGAAGCTGAATACCAGAACTTCCGGGACCCCTTTGTGTTCTGGCACGACGAATCCCAGAAATGGGTGGTTGTCACGAGCATAGCCGAGCTGCACAAACTCGCGATGTACACTTCCGACAACCTCAAAGACTGGAAGCTAGTGAGCGAGTTCGGTCCTTACAACGCGCAAGGCGGAGTGTGGGAGTGTCCCGGACTTGTCAAACTCCCCCTTGACGGCGGAAGTTCCACAAAATGGGTTATTACAAGCGGACTGAACCCTGGTGGTCCCCCAGGCACTGTCGGCTCCGGAACCCAGTACTTCGTGGGAGAGTTCGACGGAACCACATTCACGCCCGACGCCGACACAGTATACCCAGGAAACTCCACCGCAAACTGGATGGACTGGGGTCCGGACTTCTATGCCGCAGCTGGTTACAATGGCCTCTCGCTCAACGACCACGTCCATATCGGCTGGATGAACAACTGGCAGTATGGCGCAAACATCCCCACCTACCCCTGGCGCAGCGCCATGGCCATTCCCCGCCACATGGCCCTAAAGACCATTGGCAGCAAAGCAACCCTAGTCCAGCAACCCCAGGAAGCGTGGTCTTCTATCTCGAACAAGCGTCCGATCTATTCACGCACCTTCAAGACTCTCTCTGAAGGCTCCAACAACACAACCACAACCGGAGAGACATTCAAAGTGGACTTGAGCTTCTCCGCCAATTCGACGGCCTCGACAATTGCAATTGCCCTCCGAGCATCCGCCAACTTCACCGAGCAGACCCTCGTTGGCTATGACTTCGCCAAGCAGCAAATCTTCCTTGACCGTACACACTCCGGAGACGTGTCATTCGACAAGACCTTCGCGAGCGTCTATCATGGACCTCTGACGCCGGATAGTACTGGTGTAGTGAAGTTGTGTATCTTCGTCGATAGGTCCAGCGTCGAGGTGTTTGGCGGACAGGGCGAGACAACCCTGACGGCTCAGATCTTCCCTAGCAGTGATGCAGTTCACGCCCGTCTGGTGTCTACCGGTGGAACTACCGAGGATGTTAAAGCTGACATTTACAAGATTGCTTCGACGTGGAATTGATGCCTTGTCGCTACATGTGGCAACGTGTGTGGCTGTTCGTTGTTCGATTTGAGGTTTAGCGGTAGATATAGCAGAGACGAATTGACATTTCTTCCCTCATGGTCAATCAAAAGTAAACTACTAGGTACTTTGCATCTAGGTACTGGTAGACATGACGTCAGCAACACACCGTATCGGGTAACGATCAGGATCCCGAGGCATGGCTGGTTCACGTGCCGACTGCATGAGGTACAACTCTATCCGTGAGGGGGCTGATTATAGAGTTACCCCTTCTGCTGTCAGCATCTGTTCTTTCAAGTAAACATCTTGCATTTGGAAAGCAATATCACCTAATTTTACGCGCAATATGTCGGAAAACTACGGCGACTATCAGACTGAGATCTATGGCCGAGGAGCATTGACAGGCGTTTTGCCTAATGTTACTACCGATCCTCGCTTACTTGAAGAACAGGCAAAGAAGGCCCTAGGCGAGCGTAGCTTCAATTATGTGGCTGGCGGTGCTGGGGAGAAGGCTACAATGGATAGCAATCGGCTGGCTTTTCGACAATGGAAGCTGTAAGTTGATTCGTCTCCGCCGCGATGTTGCTACGTAGAATCGGGAGACTAACGCACATAACGTTTGACGATATGAAAAGAATCCCGAGGATGCTGAAGCCGGTTAGTAGAGTTCAGTCGGTTCCTCAAAAGTCCCAGCGCTGACCAATGGTTGTGTCCGCGTAGATGAATGATCAGAACCTTGCGGTAAACCTTTTCGGCCAGCAATATCCAACTCCTCTTCTCATGGCTCCGGTCGGCGTCCAGTCTATTTTCCATGATGATAAGGAGTCTGGCCTTGCAGAAGCTTGCGGGAATGTCGGGATCCCGTATATCCTCAGCACCGCGAGTAGCAGCTCGATTGAAGAGGTCGGGCAGGCAAACGGAGACGGTAAAAGATGGTTTCAACTCTACTGGCCGCGAGACGATGATATCACGCTATCATTGCTGAAACGCGCCAAAGACAATGGGTTCTCCGTCCTGGTAGTTACGCTCGACACTTGGTCGCTCGCTTGGCGACCAGCGGACCTGGATAATGCCTACGTTCCGTTCATACGGGGCGTCGGCAACACACTTGGTTTCACGGATCCCGTGTTCCGCTCGAAATTTGAGAAAGAGTCCGGTTCGACAGTGGAAGAGGACATTGTGGGGGCATCCAAGTCATGGATTTCCCAAGTATTCTATGGTCAGCCGCATGCGTGGGAGCAAATTGCATTCTTGCGAAAGAATTGGGATGGTCCAATTGTACTCAAGGGCATTCAGCATGTGGATGATGCGAAGCTCGCCCTTGAGGCGGGATGTGACGGTATCGTTGTTTCAAATCATGGAGGTATGTGGTGACAGTCGCTCTCCAGCGAAGATTCTTTCTAATTACATGTATACAGGTCGACAGGTTGATGGTGCGATCGGCTCACTGGAAGTTCTCCCCGAGATAGTTGATGCTGTTGGTGGCAAGATAACAGTCCTTTTTGATTCAGGGGTTCGCACTGGAGCAGATGTCATCAAAGCGCTTTGTCTGGGAGCGGATGCTGTCTTGGTTGGCAGGCCGGTGATCTATGGGTTGGCAATCGATGGAAAGAACGGGGCCGAAGCCGTGATGAAGGGGCTTCTGGCGGATCTCTGGCAGACCATGAGTCTGTCAGGGATATGTACCGTGGCCGAGTGCACCCGCGACAAGATCAGGAAG